TCAGATTTTTGCTAGAGGCAGTGGGCCTCGCTTCCATCATTAGGGCTAACAAGCAGCCACCCCCCCAAAAAAAATCACTACCTGAGCCTGCACCCCCTAAAGGATAGCCTAAGTCATTGAGGCAATTACGTATGCACTTAAAGGCGAGGGCAGTTTACAGTTCTCTCGTGGCAAAATTAATATATTACCGGACTGCATGCTCCTATGTTTTCATTCTTCTTTATTTTGAATAAAGCTAAAGAAAATTGCAATAATAAGATCAGATTTATGAAAGACGTCCTGGCTTAGCAACATGCAAACATAAAAAATAATTAAGTACAATGTAGCGGAGAGGCATGCGACTCAATGCTGTGGGCATTCATATAATTAATTGGACCAAAAAAAAAAGCCCTCTCCTTGCTTCAGTGTGCTATATTTATGGAAGTGTCTGAGAATGAAGGTCTGTGTGGTGTTTTACAGGGAAGCCTAAGAAAGAAAGCAGTTGTCTGTGGCCACTGCTTCATGTGTGGCTTTTTGGGAGGGACTGGCATGCTTTCAGTCTGGCATCAGATCCCCAGGCAGTAGGAAGCAGGCAGAAGGCTCTCCGCTGGGAAGAACGGTTAAGAGGCACAAGGGCAAGAAGACAGGGATGGTGTTAATAGCGCTGTGTGGCTCAGGATTGCTGCAGAGCTTGTGAGATCGTAATAAAAAAGCAGCAGGCATGCCACAGATTTAAACATTTCCCCTTCCCCAGTGAATTCTGGGAACTGTGCTTCTGTGCACGGGGGGGAGCAAGTCACTGCTTGCTCAGGCCAAAAATCGACAGGGCTGCTCCAGTACTCAAGTTGCGAACACTCAGAAACAAAATGCCTAATTTAAATGTCCACTTGTTCCCCATCTCTCCCACTCCCTGTCAGTCCTCTTTCTCTCTCTTCTGCAAGCCCTGAATAAATCCTTGCTCTGGGTGTGAGGGAGGAGGGGGGCAGAAGGTAAGAGAGTGGGTGCAGGGAGCTCTGAGCAAGGCAAAATAGGTCTTTGGGGAGCAGGGGGGCACTTCCCGATTGCATGGGTCTTTCATACATTTGTAGCCAGGGATTGGTGGGCCTTGCCGAACCAAAACTTCAGCTACATATGGCAACTCGATATAGCCAGGAGTGGCAGCTCAGCACTGCTATTCACGGCTGGTGAGCCTTACTATTCCTGGCTGCAAATGCACCCCCCGGATCTAAAACAAGCATCTTTTGGTCCGGTGCAAGCCAGCTGCCTCACACCGGAGTAGCAGACTGAGAAACAGGACATTCCAGGATCCAGTCCGAAGCTGGGTGGGATGGCTTCTGTAATTCTGGGATGTCCCGCATAAATTGGGATGGTTGAGGGGTATGCAACTGTTTGTGGCAGCACGAGGTAATTCAAAGTCAGCTCCATTCAATTCCAGATGAGCTGAGAGGGTGTATGTGTGTCTATGTTTAAGGTCACATGCAGCTCATTTAGGGCTTAAAGGTAAAGGGACCCCTGACCGTTAGGTCCAGTCGCAGACGACTCTGGGGTTGCGGCGCTCATCTCGCTTTACTGGCTGAGGGAGCTGGCGTACAGTTTCCGGGTCATATGGCCAGCATGACTAAGACGCTTCTGGCGAACCAGAGCAGCGCACGGAAATGCTATTTTCCTTCCCGCCGGAGCGGTACCTATTTATCTACTTGCACTTGATGTGCTTTCAAACTGCTAGGTGGGCAGGAGCTGGGACCGAACAACGGGAGCTCACCCCGTCGTGGGGATTCGAACTTCCAACCTTCTGATCGGCAAGCCCTAGGCTCTGTGGTTTAGAGCACAGCATCACCTGTGTCCCCTCATTTAGGGCTTATCCACACTTATTTTTTGCCCCACACTTTGCGGGCACAGGTCCACGCTCTAAAGCTAAACAAGATAGTGTTAGCTGGAGGACCATCATTTAGATTAATTCAGTGCTTGTTTGGTATCAATACCAGGGAATTCTCTTTGGAAGCCACAGTTTTAGGAGCATGCTATTGGAAGCTACATTACATAGAGACAAGAGAAAGGATTTCAGCTACCTCGAGACAGTGAGTTTTTTCTTTAAAAAATAATGCTTAGGGGTACTCTCATTTTCCTACTCATATTGAAATACTGCCCCTCAATGAGGCCAAACACAGATTCACAAAATGTTTAGGGGTATGTGTACCCCTGCGTCCTCCCAGAAAAAAAGCATTGCCTGGAGATAATGAAGTATTCAGAAATATTGGCACACCAAACAGGTGCATGTGCTTTCAATGATAATTTTGGAGAAGCTGTTGGGATGTTTTGAACCTCAGAAGATAAGAAGGTCTCCATTTACCCATTAAAGCTTTGCATTTTGCAGTTGTCAAGAGGATAGATGTGCCACGGTGATATTGGAAGGGAATGATCCCTCCCACTTTTGAGTGCGAATTATGCTTTCATTGGTAAATTTTGTGAATTAACATGAAGACGGCAAATGCTATGTATGAAGGAGCCTCACCAAATTTCACTCAGTCTCTGTATGCAGGAAGAGTGGAGCCATTCATGGTAACTGCGAAACAATATGTTGGCACTGTGTATTACGAGGCTTCTGTGAAATAACAAAACTGACATGGGCACAGAGGCGCCATCTTCCGAAGAACATTGAGGGGGCAGCACGTGATGTCCTGACGTCACACACTCACACGTGTGATGTTGCGTGACGTCCTGACATCGCTCCACACCTGGCTCTGGATTTGGCCTGAAAAATAGGTGTCTGGCCCCCTTAAAAAAAGATTAAGGGGTCCAGAGAACCTTGCCCCCTGGAGCTGGCAACTATGTATGGGCAATATCTCAATCTTCTCAGAACCATGGTGGATCAGGCAAAAGGCCCAACTTGCCCAACAGAGGCCTGCTAAATGCAATGGAGAACCCACAATCAGGACACAAGCACAACAGCATTCTCCCCACTTGTGATTCCAAGAAACCGATATCCTTAACCATACGGCCTTCAACACTGGAGGGAGAACATATTCATCATAGCTAGTAGCCATCGAAGGTGCTACCCACCATGGTTTTGTATATTTCTCTTTTCAAACCATCCAAGCTGGTGGCAGTCATTGGCAACCGCCCTCCATAGCCCCATGCACAATGCCCATGTCCTCCTCATGGACAGCTTTCAGATACTTGCAGGTTTCATAGCAGCATGGTGGATGAAGGACATGCTGGTTCAGAGGCAAACTATTCATCTAGCACACAGGGGTTGGGGGGGAGGCATTGCCACACCTAATCAGCAAGGGTAGCTCAAGGCCTCCTCAATCGGAAGTGCTACCGGGCTCAAGATTTTCTTCTCATCACTGGCTTATGTTTTATCTGAGTGATACTTATTGAAAGCCTTCTTGGCAGACTATCATTGCCAGAGGTTAGACTGCTCTGGTGATTTTAACAACATTGGCCTGCCACTACTTGGATTTCTTAAATGTAATTAGATATTTAATTTTTTAAAACTTTCATTATTTTATTGTATGTTGTTACTGTCTTTAATTTACGATATGCTTTTACTCTTTGTATTTTCATAGATTTGTTTTTATATCATTTTAATTCTGTTATAGATTAGTTACTTTTGAACCATTATCTTTTATTTGTTTTTAACTTTTCTGTATTTTGTCTGTGTTGTTTAAATTTGTGTAAGCCTCCTTGAGTCCCAATCTGGAGAAAAGGAGGGAGATAGATGATAGATAGATAGATGATAGATAGATAGATAGATATAAAATAACGATATAGTCACATGTTTGTTTGTTTATTTATTTCACAAAAAATTATACAGTGCTTGATTATTTTTTAAAAAACACCTCAAAGTGGTTTACAAAAAGATAAAACCATAGCACTGAGAAAAATTCACAACTGTATTTTAAAACATACAAAAGAATAATAGAACAGATTAAAATTTCCTCAACTTCCTAAGCATCTCAGTAGGCTTAGTTGTGATCAGCCTTAGAAATATTTTACATTGAAAGGTGGGGTGAAAATATTCTGAACAAATGAATAACATTTTCTTGACACTCATTCCATTTTATATGCTGGATTCAGACTCTTGAGTATATGTGTTGGATACAGTTTGTTGCTAAGTATGCCTATGCAGACTTTTTTCCTACTTCAGTGTGCATCTTTCTGTTTTATTCATTTCTTTATTACATTCCTCCTAAGAAAATTGGGCAGCATATGTAAATACAGTGGTATCTCAGTTTAAGAACAGCCCTGTTTACAAACTATTCAGTTTACGAACTCCGCAAAACCGGAAGTAGTGTCCTGGTTTGCGAACTTTACCTCAGTCTAAGAACGGAATCCGAATGGTGGAAGGGCACCGGCAGTGGGAGGCCTCATTAGGGAAAGCGTACCTCAGTTTAAGAACAATTTCGGTTTAAGAACGGACTTCCGGAATAGATTAAGTTTGTAAACCGAGGTACCACTGTAATCATATCTCCATTTTCTCTACATAACAACTTTGTGAGGTACGTTAGGGTGAGAGAGAGTGACAAGTCCAGTGCCACTGAGGGAGTTTCATGGCAAAGTGAGGATTTGAATCCCTGGTCTCCCAGATCCTAATCCAGTGCTCTACCATCCCACCATGCTCTCATTGACTCCACGGAATTCGGTGAAGATCACATTTTCTCTTTCTTAAAAACAGAAAACTCTGGAAATGAAGGTAAGGAAAATGTGAACTGTGATGCTCTGTAATCAGATGTTATGTTATAATTACTTTGGCATGTTATTGTAACTTTAGGGTTTTTTCTGTTAAAAGTCTTTGCTGTAAGACGAAGTAAATACCAATAAAATGTTATTAAGGAAAAACCCCTCATACAATACATATTATTTGTTTTAGAATTGGTATGGGATACCAATTGAGCGTGGGAGGGAGATTTTTTTTAAAAAAAGAACAAGGAGGAGTATTGTTTTCACTTTCTAATTTCACGTTGACCAATATTTTTACTTCGGGTAGAATAAAAACATACATTTTCCTGAGACTTTACCAAGATAAATTTTCTTAATATTGTGCATTCCAGGATCTGCCGCCAACTTCTGCTGAAAGACCAAATGCATAGATCTGTTTTGCTTTGGGATTATATTTCTCTCCTCATTCGTCAGCCTCGATGGCAGCGAATCAAAGTATTGTGAACAGATCAGATCAAAGTTCTCTGAAGAATTCACACGTGCTTTTTCATTGCCCAGGTCCCATTGGCTGCCCAGGACAAGATGTCTGGCAGAAGACTGGAAGAGACAAGTCTGCGACGGCATGTGGGTGGGAGAGAGATGGGGTGGAAGAAGGAATAGACAAAAGTATTCATACATATGTAATCGCAGATGCTGTCCTTGATGACATCATCTTCATCCTGCATTGATCAGGAAGGACTTAGAAGCTGTGCATGTAATTTCTCTCTTTGTAGTGGCCAGGGCTCACTCTAGAGAGGACCAGAGTTGGATGAAGCGCTGGGGCAGTCAGAGGTTGCACTGTACGTTCAAAGCTCATAGCTTCCCCTAAACCTCCCATCCTTTTTGATGCTCTCCATTGAGTACAGCTTTAGAAGACTACAGAACAGCCATAACGTGACTAATCTTGGAAGCTGTCAGCAGGTAGGGATTGCAGATTTCCATAGATGCCAACTTTGAGGGGCTGAGGTCCCTCCTCCGCCAATAAAATATTTGAGGGGGCTGCCCCCTCAAGTTATTGGGAATTGCCATTCAAATGGTGTGCAGTACTGTTTCATGTGATTAATTATGTGGAGCAGGGCTTACCTGGGCCCTCCCAATATTTTATTCAACTTGGCACCTCTGTGGATTTCATTAAGAGCCTCCCATTATATCTTTCCATTCGGGCACTGGAATTACGCCCCACAAAAAGCTCCTGGTTCAAATATCAGCTAATCCCAAAGTCACATTGTTATTGCACCTCTTACAAAGATTCCCTTGGAACTTTGATTTGCTGTCTACAGAACCAGTGTGCAACTACTAAGGGGGGCGGAGTGGCACAACCAGGGCTTTTTGTGCAAATTTGCCAAGTCGTGCAACTATTGTGCCAGCTGCCGGGGGCTGGGAAGAACAGAAGTAGAAGAACCAATGGCCACAAGCAGGGTGGTCGATGCCCACGGACCGCTCAAGAGTGCCAGCTGCCTTCATTTGGCAAGCCATGACAACTGCTTACCTTTCTCCTTCCTTGGGAATAAATAATTCAAAGCGTGTTCTTTAAATGAAGTCATCTGCATCTCCTTTTCCAAACCATGTTCCCGATTCATAACCAGCTATTAACTCTTTATTATTCCTCTGAGGTTTCAAAACAGAGACTCTCACTGTTATTTTGCCCAAAGTCTCTGCACTCCTTTCAAAACACATGTGGATGAGTCACTTTGGCTAGAGACAGATAATGAATCGTTTTTTAAAGAGAGTTGGTGTGACATAGTCCATCAATGCCCCTGTGTGTGTACATGCACATTAACTTTTTTCCACTGTTGCCTCTGATAGAACAAGCTTAATCGGCAGAATGAAAGTGGGCAAGAGGTATCAAAATGGAGAAAACACACACTTACCTACACACACACACACAGAGAGAGAGAGAGAGAGAGAGAGAGAGAGAGAGAGAGAAAGTATACATGAAATATACTCAGAGTCGGGAGTGGATTTCATGCTCTTTATTCAGCTCATTGTGGTGAGGAGGAATGGAAGTTCCCCCACAATATCTGCTTTATATACATTATTTACACAATGGGCTGCACGTGATTGGCTAATTCTGGGATTCTCCTGTAGGCCAATCAGGTTGTGGATTCACTTCCACCTGGAGCTGGATTGGGTGGCTAGAACCAATCATACTGCTGCATTGTTCTAGAACCAATCAGACTGCTGCATTTTGGATCCTATTCAACTCAGTACATAAGAATACACCTATGCAAAGTAAATGGAAATTATCACCCAGCAAGTACTCATTTTGTTCAAATGATTTCATATTTAGATTGTGTCTGTCTTAAAGTCATAGGCAGTGTATGAGAAAGAGGCCTATTGCCAAGTCTCACTTCCATGTCTGCTCTGCCACGAGGGTTGGTCAAGTGAATCTCATCTTGCATGTTCCCAGTTTTGCAAAAGCCATGAAGAAGCAAGGTTGTTCATCAACATTTGCCTTTGCCTTGCTCTGTGTTCCAAGCTTCCCATTCTGGCAGGTAAGCAATTAATTAATTAATAATTCCCAATAGAGTTCATTTCTGTATGTTATTTTCAAAATACATGCATTTATATGCACACTTTACACTAGCACATGCATATTTGTACACTTTACTAGAGTGGAAAACTCCACTGCGAAATCTGGAGAAGTGAAAATTTCAAAGGATTGTCGTGTAACGATTCACGTCATGTTTCAGAAAGTGCAAATTGGTAAGTTTGCCTTTAAATGCAAACCAAGCCAAAAAAATTCCTTTGTCTCTTGGTTCTGTCTCGGTTGGTTCTTTAATTATCCATATTAGAGGCACACGAAAGCTCATACCAATAACTAACTTAGTTGGTCTCTAAGGTGCTACTGGAAGGAATTTTTTAATTTTTTTAAATTTTATTTTGTTCCAAACAACAGCTTTATCTTAATCAACAGCTGCCCAAATCTATCAGAATTTACTTTTGACTCAACCCCTTCTTGTTGGGGATCTGATCAGACTAGATGCCCGATGCCCAAGGTGTTCAATCCTGGCCATACCTTTGTGAAGGATGGTCCATCCTGCTTGTGTAAACTGGCTGCCTGTCTAATGAATTAGCATCAACTGACGGCAAGAGTCTAGGGACAAAACAGAGAGGGACTCGCTATGTGTGCTTTGGCAAAAGGCTGGTTTCAACCAAGGATGTAGATGATGCAAACGTCATCTGAGTGTGTTCATTCTTCTGACACCCCAAGAGCACCTGGGAGCGGCAAGGGCAACTAAGGACAATGCTTATCCAACTCCCTGCTTTTTTAAATTTTTCGTTAGCTTAACACTGCTCCCTCCTAGGATTACGCCCCAGCCTATGTGTGAGCGTTTATAGCAAACTTGCTTTTACACATAAGAAATTCTTGGCATGAATTTTAAAAGGCATGGGTTATAAACTAATAAATGTCCTTTGAAGACTGCCAGCTTTACAGTCAAGAGAGGGCAGTACATGGCACTATTAAGGATAACAAGAAGAAGAATCCTCTGATGGGAAATCTAATAAATGTAGTGGCATGCTGTAATAAAGAGCACTTGAAAATGGATGAGGTATAACAAAATTATTCATAAAGAGAAATAGGAAAGGATGTCATGCTGAGTGGTTACATGCAGTTATATGGAGCACTAACAAGGTTATCACTGCAAGCAGAGTGCTGGTGAGCTCACAGATGCTCCCTCACTAGCACAAAGAGAAAACGCTCTCTTTTTTAACCTTTCAGAACAGGAAAGCCAAGAGTTTAGAGGTGTGCCAAGCTCCTGCTACAGCTTTTTAATAATTCACTGCCAAGTGGCTTCAGTGGTTCATGTAGGTCAGGGTAGAGAACATAGAGAAATCCCTTTTGGGTTGTTTGATAGAAGAATTGAAGCCCAGATGCTTTCCGTTGGCCATGATGTCTTCTTTCTCCGGTGCTATATCATTCAAAGCACATTTTGATATTATAAACCATGTAATGTTTTGTTCTATTAGGTCGCCGTGCACCACATCTTTCCCTTCCCTCTGCTGCCTTGGCTTTCCCCCTTCCTTCTTTCCGACCCCATATCTGCCTGTTGGGCTACTTCCAATATTTCTTCCTAAAATACTGTCATGAACCCTTTGGAGAATTCTTGGCAGGATTGGTCAAAGGGGGAGGGCAACTACTGAGATGGTGAGTGAGCAGGAGCCAAATGGCTCATTGGACAATACACTGCACAATCACACAAGATGTATTTTATATCTATCATCTATCTATCTCTCTCTATCTATCTATCTTTCTATCTATCTATCATCTATCTATCTATCTATCTATCTATCTATCTATCTATCATCTATATCATCTATCTATCATCTATCATCTATCATCTATCATCTATCTATCTATCTATCTATCTATCTATCTATCATCTATCTATCTATATCTATCTATCTATCTATCTATCTATCTATCTATCTATCTATCACCTATCTATCTATCATCTCTCTATCTCTCTATCTATCATCTATCATCTATCTATCTATCATCATCTATCTATCTATCTATCATCTATCTATCAATCAGTATATAGGAAGCAGTTCAGATCTTAGGGATTTAAACTTTCAGACTTCTTCAGACACAAATTGTATCAAACCATGGTGGTGAGTAGTGCCATATCTCGAGGCAGTAAAAAATTTAGAGACTTGTTCATCCCTGTCGCCCTCAAAATTGACCTTTGAGGATTTCCCCTTTAAGATTCCCATTACATCGTAGTGTCGAGCCAGTCTAAATTATGCTAGGATTCCTTGCAGAGTTCTGCAGGTTTTTGCCAGGTTAGTTAATCAATTCCTATTGGTCTTAGCCTCCAACCTTGAAATGATGAAACGGTCTCTCAATGTTTCATCGCCAGCGCTGCTCATCTTCAGAGCACCAGCTTGACTTTAGGTAAGCTTATTAAACAGTTGTGGTGGTATTCAAATAGACCCAAGCCATTTGTTTTAAGATGTCTGCATTAACAACAACAACAAAATCACTCCAACCACCCCGACCTCTTATATCTCAGCTTACATAAACAATAAAATATCGTTGGGGAAGATGGTAATCAAAAGCGCAAGGGGAGGATGCAGCCCAAATAATGCTTCCTTTAGAGAAACCACAGGCTGCCAATCATTCACACCCCTCTCTCTCCTTAAAGCCTCCTAATGAGCCTGGCTGCCGTGTGAGGCCTACACTGAAGTGAAAACCAGAAACAAAGAATTCCATTGACTTTCCCTTTGAAAATGCTAAGAGGCACTCAAAGGGCCTTTTCAGACATAATACCAAACTATGGTCCAGGCTAGGCTTATGTGAATGGGCATTGGTCTCGTGTGCTGCCCCCTTGCCTCTGTTTCCCCATTGTGCCTGCATGAGGAGGTGATCAGAAGCTTGCATGTCTAAGCTAGCCAGAATGGTTTCTTTAGTCCAGACTCATCCATACTGCTGAGGACTCTGGGTAGCTTAAGGCTGCAGTGCAAACCCACTTTGGACTGGGCTGGGAGGAGCTTCCTGTTCTGCCTACTGAATGCGCATGCGGTCAGAGGTACCATCACTGGGTTCCTGTATGTAGGAGTCTGTGGAAAGCCCCCAAACA